TTTCTACTTTCATCATTACTTCCACATTTAGTATTTGGATTTCTATATAAGGAAGAGCTTTTCTTCTAACATATTTATTTATTTAACCTTTCATTCATTCATTGCTTATTCATATCAGTATGGACTCATAGATTCCTTTTTTATTTGGTGGTTTTAACCCATTACAATCTGATTAATTTTGTTATCCAAATTACCCCAGGCTTGACTGAATTGAAGTCCTTTATATTTATCTCCTGTCTCCTTCTGAAATATCACATCACTTTTTAAGCACTCCTTTCCTTTTTGGTATGGACTCATCTTGTACTTTCCCTGATGCAGCCCTGTCTAGCATCAGCCATTTCTCCGAGGAGCCCAGATTACTATAATCAGAGAATAGTACTTAAAAATCAATACCTGGCGGTGAGATGTGCTCAATGACACTGGAATGTCATTGCTTTTAGGACTTTTCATCATGTAGAGCTAAGATTTTATACATGTGAATATATATATTATTATATACAGATGAAAATAGATATTATGTATTTAAATTTCTTTATATTCCAGGAGTTCATATTGATATCCACAATTTCAATCTTATACCCAGAGTGCATTCCATTCTTATCCCTTTCCTTATTTTTAACCCCTTTTTCCAAAAATAAAAAGCATGACATGTATCTGTGTACTTAACTGTTTAATCCTAGAATACACAGAAGGTAGTTTCAGAACTCCTACTCCAGATCCCCATGAAATATATATCCTGTTTAAAGTACAATATTTGCATACAGTTTCTTTTAGACTTAAGCCTTTGAGTATAGTCAACAAACTGAAAAGTTATTTAGGTAATTTTCCCACCACTCCTTCATTGTTTTCATTTTATTCACTTGGAATACAATTAGATTCGTAATTGTGTTTATATTCCATTTTTGGTCCCCCTGATTCTTACTGCTTTATTTGTATTTATATTCTATTATTCTTAAATTATTAAAGCTTCATGAGTATTTTCTTATATATCCTTCCTTCTTACTTAAAGGGTAGCATGCTATGGATACTCTTTTATACTTTGCTTATTTCACTTAAAAATACATCTTGAAAATCACTTCATATCATTCATTCATGTGTATCATCCTTATTCCTTTTAATAGTGGCATGGTGTTCCATTAGGGTGGCGTACCATGTTGTATGTACATCCTGTGTATTTTTTAACTTTATATCTTTCAAGTATCTTTTAATCTATAGATATGCATCCCTTCCATCCCATTTTTTTTCTTACAAGTTTCATATTAAATAATTTGTAGTGTTTGACCTGTTAAGATTCCCAGTCTGAATTTTGCTGTTTTCATACTCATAGTGCAGTTCAACATTTTCCTCTGTCCCCTGTATTCCCTGCAAATTGGTACTTAGACTCAGTGGCTTGAATAGACTGATTTACCATCCCTTCAACCAGACTATAGGTAGTGTTATATTTTTCAATATGAGTACATAATGTTTATTTTTTCTCCATTAAAAAAATGTTTATAGCCATTGAAGCTCAAAGATTAGGTACATTATTTCATTAGAGTTACAAAGTGGTGCTATTGAAATCTTTTTTTTATTAATTACCTGGAAAACTCTATAAGGAGACCCTTCCCCTGATCTACCGGTTGGTTATTGAATCATACATTTCACATAGAAAAGGTGGGATTTATTTCCTTATATTTGCCTAGTTTTCTAGATCTTGAATTTTCCCTATAATCTTTAAAAGATAATCAATTGTATTTTGACTATTAATATAAACTCATAGAATTCAAAATATTCGATGGGTTTTAATTGTCATTCAAATCTTTATTAAAGGTCAAATTATCTTATCCTCGGCCAATGAGAGTTTCTTAAATTGGCTCCTGAGGACTTATGACATGATGCTAGTACCTTTGATAATTTCCTTGCCATTTGGTATTATTAAGATTTTCCAGGATCACTATGTACCTTTTTTGCCCCAGAGGATTTCTCCAAGAAATCCTGGTTTCTTTTAATAGAAGATTATATTTCAAGACAGCAATCTTAGCTCTTAGAACTCCACTGTTAAAGTATTGGTTATTGTTTCTAGGCCCTCTCATAGGACAGATCTAGAAAGTGTAATAATTCCTAAAATAAGACTTCTACCAGCAAGAGAGAGACAGAGAAAAAGTATGTAAAAGTACAGTCGAAATAAACACAGGTGAGTGTCCCTCAGTAGGCACTTAGACTTGTCACTTTCTCACTGGGTCTGACCACAGGGTGAGGCAGAGGAAGTGGTGATGGAAACTGGTCAGACTGGGGGGTAACAAATAAAAAGGGAATTGGCTCCTTCAGGGCATGGCCCAGGGAAACTGCAAACCTCTTAAAGAAACCACAGCCAAACGTGTGGCACTGATACTGGGGAGGCACCATGTCTGAGGAAGGTGTCTAGGTGGGTGGACCTGAGGGACGCATCGCAGAGTGGTGTGGGGGAGCAGCTATAATGTCTCTGGCAGAGAGCAGGCCTCTGGGTCTGGTGAAAAACTAGTACTGGAGTCATCCTGATGAAGAATAACCTGAATGGTCCCCACACAGACTGACCAAAGGACAGTTTGTACCTCTCAACCACAGCTGTAGACAGCTGGCTACAGTGACTGAGTGTCCCACTGCAAGCCAGACTGGACAAGTCTAGTTACCACAAGCCACGGGACTGGACATCTGTCCCCAATGCCAGGGCAATATGGAAAACTTCCTAGAACTTAGATCATCACCAGTATAGTCCACAGGGAATAATGGGAATAAACCAGACACTCTTTAACAGAGAGGAAGAGAATCCTAGAATTCCCAGTTAACAAGGCAGCACTAAGGAAAATCGGAAAGAACTGATTTACCTGCATCTGGCAAGACTAAGTTTTCTGTCAACAGCAGAAATGGGGCTCAAGAATTGAGTTTTGTTACTAAGAAATAACGACATTTCTATATGTAAAGATAGCTGTCTTATACCCAATTTTTTAGCTTTGTAAAATAGATGTTTTGTTATCTGCCTCAAAAACTTGTTATGAGGAAGTGAATATAGAGACTTATTACAGTAACCTGGAGTAAGCATTCATCAAGTGCCCTAGTGGCAGGCCAAGGAGGAAAGCTATGAAATGCCCTTATCATAATATTTATAAACCACTCAGAGCACACCTCTTCAGGGTTTTAGGAAGTCTTATTAATGCCAGTGTACATAATTTGGGAGTGCTGAAAACCAGAAAACAGGCTACTGGCCCATAACTCTGAAAGAAAGCTCTTAGATGTGTCCAAAGAAAGCAAATAATGCTCCTAAGCTAAACATACATTTGTTCTTTTTGCCAAGTATGTTCCCTTGTTATGTGACATGAGGATGTGATGGGAGCTAGTGGTAATACTCATTATTTCAAAAAATGATCTCTTCCAAATTACCACATCTCTCCCTCTTTAAAATGGCAGAACTAGAAGCCAACAGTATCAGCCAATGGATACTGGATAGATCCATACTTAACATGGTGGGAAAGCCTCTTTCTTAAAGCCTTGGATAAGCACATGGCCTTTAAATGACCCTTCTCAATAGGTAAGTGCTCCTGGAATTGGCATGTCTCAGAAGGCAGTAACTGTCGCTTCCTGCCTTGGAAAAGCCCCATATGTCCTGACCACTCAGTGCTATGATTGTGTGTCCATCAACAGTGTTAAAGAGTGTCTGGCTTATTCCCATTATTCCCTGTGGACTATACTGGCATAAAGTTATTTTCTTTCCTGCTCTGTCCTTCATCAACATATACATATAGAACTCTTAAAAATGATAAACTATAAAAAAAAGATTTGAATTCTTTTTGTAAAAAGTTGAATATGAATTAAAAAGAACAAAAGAAAATAATTCCAGACTATTCTGATATGTTATCATATCCACTTAGTATAGACCTACAATATCCACATATCAACTTTTTTTTTTTTAGATAAATCATGTTCTTTAATAAGAACGATAAACAAGGGCTATTTCCACAAAAACTGTCTTCTGGGTATTTATACATGTGGACTTCATTTTACAGAGCCAAAAAATTTCCTATATTTCATGCACATCACATTTGGATACATCTAATATTCTCAGGGATTCTTTTTTTTTTTTTGATGTCTGACTTCTTTTGCTCAACAACTTTTTTTGAGATTTTTTTTTGTTTTGGTAGCATTAATACAATTACATGAGCAACATTGTGGTCACTAGATTTCCCCCCATTATCAAGTCCTCACCACATACCCCATTACAGTCACTGTCCATCAGCGTAGTAAGATGCTACAGAATCACTACTTGTCTTCTCTATGCTATACTGCCTTCCCTGTGCTCCCCCGCTACATTATGTGTGCTAATCGGAATGCCCCTTATTCCCCTTCCCCCTCCCTTCCCACTCACCCTCCCCTGTCCCTTTCCCTTTGGCAACTATTAGTCCATTCTTGAGTTCTGTGAGTCTGCTGCTGTTTTGTTCCTTCAGTTTTTTCTCTGTTATTATACTCCACAGATGAGTGAAATCATTTGGTACTTGTCTTTCTCCGCCTGGCTTATTTCACTGAGCATAATACCCTCTAGCTCCATCCATGTTGTTGCAAATGGTACGATTTGTTTTCTTCTTATGGCTGAATAATATTCCATTGTGTATATGTACCACCTCTTCTTTATCCATTCATCTACTGATGGACACTTAGGTTGCTTCCATTTCTTGGCTATTGTACATAATGCTGCGATAAACATAGGGGTGCATATGTCTTTTTGAAACTGGGCTCCTGCATTCTTAGGGTAAATTCCTAGGAGTGGAATTCCTGGGTCAAATGGTATTTCTATTTTTAGTTTTTTTAGGAACCTCCATACTGCTTTCCACAATGGTTAAACTACCTTACATTCCCACCAGCAGTGTAGGAGGGTTCCCCTTTCTCCGCATCCTCACCAGCATTTGTTGTTCCTATTCTTTTCTATGTTGGCCATCCTAACTGGCATGAGGGGATATCTCATTGTGGTTTTAATTTGCATTTCCTTGCAGGTATCAACTTTTTAAAAAACAAAAATTTTTTTTACATGTACTACCTTGTTTTATTCATCCTCACAAAATCCCTGGAAAACTGAGGGAAGAATAGATGGGTAGAGATCCACAGTACCTAAGACAGTTCTTCCCAAGCTGGGGCCTGGAGAATCACTGAGACTGTTACCACAGCAGATCAGGTTTTTCATTACAAGAGATCCTCCTCTTTGAAAAGGTAAGAAACTATGGAGTTTTACATGGATTAAAATTTCTAAGATCTCATGGCCAAGCCAGATTTGAATGAATGTTTCAGGCTTATCTGAAAGCCATGTGGGAATGAAAACTTATTCATTTTTCTCCTATATTTGGCAGGTGATTCAAGACATGAGGCCCAATGCAAGGAGATGTTAGCACCTTCATCTGGACCCCCTCACACCACCTGTACATTTCTTATTTTTTCACATTTTAGGTCTCAGGGTAGGCAGCTAAACCTTCCATTTATGGTCTCGATAATACCCTCCATAATTTGAGATGGCATCTCATTTTTCCCTTCAGTTTTCCTCTCTGCACTGGTCTTTCCGTCAGGCTCACCATCCATTAAGTCTGCCACATCGTAACTCACCACCACAAGCAGAAATCTCACTGCCCTGCTTTCCCCCTTTACTCTTCATCTCACTCCTGGTGATCTACCCCAGGCTATTGTATTACATTTACCTTGACAATACACTACTCCCTCATTCAACTCCTCAGTTCAAAAGGATCCCAGGCTTCCTCACTCAAATCCGCACTCCTGAGGCTCACAGAGGGCCCTTCCAAGACTTTATTAGGTTGGTCCACACTCTTCTCATATTGTACCCTGTGATTTTGCTAAACTGAATTATTTGGTGTTGCTTTAGTGCAGCCCCATAATTTTAACATGAATTTCATCTACCTGGAATGCCACCCACAACCAGCTGGCATGCTGAAATGTGTCCGTTCTCCGAATGCCAGTTTAAATGCTACCTCCTCCAGATATCTTCCCCAGTTACCTCAAACTCAAACCAATTCTCTGAAATCTATCGTCACTATTTAAATCTATCTTATTATAGCTACTGGTGTATATTTTTGTCATCTCTTCTACTACATTGCATGCTGTTGAAGTGAGGAACTCTTAAACATTTTGTAAAAACATTGTCTTTACATTACAAGTTATCAATAGATATTTTCTAAATAAGTTAGGCAGAAATGATAATAAAATTTGTTTAAATGAATATAAATTTTTATACTGAACAGATTTCTACAGTTTTAAATCCTGAAAAATAATTTAGTCACTATATTATACCTTATTACAAAACCCTCTCCTGAATGTCTTATACAAGTTTTTACTTCATGATATGTACATACTAACTCAGACAAGTAAGGAACAAAGTTCTCTGACCTGTTCTGTGTCCCTGAGAGTCTTTCTTTATACCCGCAAGTCTCCTCCCACGTGGGTAGGAACTGAGCCTCTCTTCTCCCCAGACCATCTCTTTTCTTACAAAGACATCCCTAACTAAGACATCCAGATGGAATCTCACTCTCCCCAGTCCCCAGCACCTGCCCTCTCACTCACCCTGTCCAACATCCCTTCTCAGAAGGTAAGTGTCGCACATCCTGACAGCTCAAAGCAGCAGCTAGAGCTTCTGGGTGCCACTGATGATGGGGCAAAGATGGGGGTGAACCCAAGGCTGGCAATAAGCCCTAAGCTGGAGAACACATGCCAGTGGACCCTGTCCCTGGGGATCAAAATTGCCTAGTAGTAGTCTAACCTCTCCAACCGAACAGTCCCCAGTCCCACAGCTTCAACTTGAGAACAGGGGCTGCTGGGCACACTGGCTTCTCAGTTCAAGAGGCCATGGAACTAGTGTCATAGTAGCTCCAGACAGCAACACCAATCCACACTGTACTACTCAACAAATCTGTGCTGTAATGGGTAGGAAACAAGGGAGAAAATGAAAATTAAATTAAAAATAATTTATTTAAAAATAATTTTAAAATACTTAAATTGAAACTAATCTCTGGTATTTTTGTTCTCACCCCAAACCTCTACTGTTACTACTCTCTTCTTGATAGCTCTCTTGTATCATCTTTCCATTATCCTTATGTCTCTTGTTTCTTGAGCCCAAAGACAAACCTACAGATAGGTCTACACACAGATAACATGCATCTTTAATCCCTATAGCTCTACAGAAGTCGCCTATGTGCCTCTGCTCTGGACTTCTGTACTTCCCAGCCATGACATTCTTTCTGGGATGCATTCCTTCCACCACTCTCTGTCTCTCCAGGCATCTTCTACTCTGCCCACCCCCCAGTTTTGATGATCAGGCATCTTCCACCCTTTTTCATACATTGACATGTACAGATGGCCCAGGGGCTCCCCTTACAAAAGAATCCACAAGAGGGCAAAGCCCTCTTGACCATTGTATCAAGGACTGATCCTGTTTACTTTAACACATGCTGGAAAAGAGAAAGGCTGAGCAGAGAGGTCTGTTCAGGTCTTGCATGTCCACAGAATGTGGATTCCAAGACTACATCTTTATTACGGACAACACTGGCTCATCAGACCTTGGCTTCCTGCTCAACATTCCCATGTGGATTTCCTCCTGCCACAGCACATACAGGATGCCTCAAATTAAACTCATCACAGGTTCCTTTTGTAACATTTCTTTCTTTAATGGTATGACTCATTCCAGAACTCCAAGATGGAACCCTCAAGTGCTCTTTTCTGATCCACTTTTTCCCTTAACCCTTATTATGCTCTATGTCACCAATTCCTATTGCTCCTCCCACTGAAATGCACTTTTCTATTGAAGTCCATTATTACTGTCCCAACCTAGGTCTTCATCACCACAGTTTGCACTTACTCATCTTTTTTACTTGAATATTTATATCCAAATCCACTCAGAAAATCAGTTTAATCTTTCTATAACCCCTTAAAAAAACAAAACAGCTTATGCTTCTCATTTTCTTGCACATGAACACCCAGAAATCCACAACTGATTTCTCAAAATCTGTCCCTCTCTAGTACTGGCCTGACTTCACATACCAAGATTTTTAAAGACATTACAGTAGGGCCACTTGCCTCCTACTTCTCTACAAAACAACCAAAACATATTAACCACCTTCTTGTGCCAGTCCCAGTGATCAGGACTAGAGGAAAGGCAGAATCCAAAACAGACATGATCCCTGTCCTCATGCATCCTACAATCTATCTCAGGATGTTCTCCCATCTCTTCTCTGCCAACAGTGCTCTGCCACTTAATATGTAATTATATGCCTTCGTGTTGCTGACTTACTCATATATTCAACCAAGGATGACTTAGGGTTAGGGCACAGTGCTGAGCAGGTGGAAACTTCAAGCTCTGGAAGATGGAGATGAAGTTATCAATGTATCCTAGCATGTGGCTCAGTGACTGTAGGTGGGTAGGTAGACCATAACCCTTTTTAAATGAATGACTTCCATGATAAGAGGTTATAAAATTGGGCAATCAGAATTTAGAGCAGAGAGAAATCAGAATGTTGAGCACTTTTCAGAAGGTTGTGCTCTGGAGGGTGTATGGGCTGCACACAGACTGACATGTGGGAGGAGGACATTCCAAGCAGTGCTGGAATGTGAGGCAAGGAAGAGAAGGCCAGCTGCCGGCCCCAGGATCTGCTCCCCTCTGTTTCCACAGTAATGGGGTATAAGCAGCCCAGCTAGCCCTTGGACCATGATAATCCATGTTCCTAAGTTCTCACTGATAAAATGTGTGCAGAAATAATGTATCAATGTCCATATCATCTGCTGTAATGGAGTAGGATAGGTTATGTTGTGGAATAAATAGCATGTTTATTTCTTGCTCACAAAAATCTGCTTCAGGGCCAAGGACTTCTTTGCATTCACTCTGGATTCCTGCAGGTTTCTTTCTTGCTGCTCCTCCACATCAATGTGCGTTTTGTGGCCATCGTGCCAAGGGAAGCAAGGGCCACAGAGTCAAGTGCCAGCAATGAAAACTTCAGCACACAAGTGGCTCATGCCACCTTGGATTCTACTGCTTTGGTCAGAGCTGGTCACATGGCTGTGCCTATTAAGAGTGAAGAAGTGTGACCTTCTGGGTTCCCATAAATAGAAAAGACCTACATATTGATAACTATTATGTCTATTACATTTACATGAAATGAAATTGCATATCATAGACTTGATATCTACACTCTGAAGGCCAAAACACATACATGACATTGACCAAGCCCCTGTGTTTTAAAGTCTCTATCAGTAGCTTAGCCATATTTCAACTAATAGAAGAACAATTAAGGGACAACTAGGGCTTGTGTAAGGGAGTAGTATTGTAGTATTGTGGCATTAAAACAGACAAAAAGAGTGTCAAGACACATTTGTTTGCTATTATCCCAATAATAGGCTTTGAGCTAGTAGGAACTAAAACACAGAAACCATTTTTATTCTGGTCTCTTCAAAATCTAGTATATTTCTATATCCAAAGGCTGTTCTTTTGTAGATGCTTCATGGCTGATTGATAAGAAGAAACAAAAATATGAGAAATCAAAATTTTATATCCAACTATACCAAAGATACAAGACTCTCTGAAGTACAGCACACAGCTCCAAACTGAGAAGGGATTTTCCATCTAGACCCAGAAAAAAGACTAGGTCAGTCTTCTAACAGGATAGGAGGTGACAGTTAGGTGAAAATGCCCTTTGACCCATTCCTCCTTTACATGCACAATGTGAAATGGCTTTACCCTTTTGAACACCACTAGAGAAAAAGAGCATGACTTACACAGGAGACACCTTTGTTCATTTGCTCTTTAAGTTTTATTATATTATTATTTCCTCTGCACCTTGCTTAAGTTGGAACAATAAGGAGTGATTAAGGTTCTTGATAACCTGGGCCACATGTGTTCTTTGGTTTTTTCATTATAAGTGATTTTCTCCTCCTCTCTGTTTCCAGGATGATGAGAGAAGGCATTTATTTTGACAATAAGGTCATAATACACAGTAATTTTTCATACTCCATTTGACCGTGGAAAAAGTCCACCTCTTGATCCATTTGAAATATATTATAAGTACTATGCTATGGCAATAATAAAGCAGAATACAATTCTATTCTTAGTAATAATGAACTGAAATATGCATCAACCAGAAGAGGGTTAATATTCTGATCCAATAGAATTAAAGGCATGTAGAGGAAAAGGGTGGAGCAAAGGAAAGGACAGATGGGCCAGGTAACCAGCTTCTGATCAAAAGAAGCGACACTACATTAAAGTGACTTAGCCAAGCTTGTAGAGGCTAGATGTAAACTAAAGACTTCCATGGTTTAGAGAAATTTTAGGAAATAGGGAGACAAAATTACTCCTTTTATACCTGGTCCCACGAAACACCTGAGGTTCCATGTTGAACCTGAGAAGTAAATTTAGAAGCTTGTTCAATTCATTCAGATTCACACCATCTGCTGCTGAAGATGTAACCCAGACTGGAAAAATGAAAAATGTCCTCTATCAGGTACATAAATATGTAACTGGTTTGGATCATATGTCATTTGTGACTCAAGTAATCATGGACGTGAAATGAAAAACAGTTATGTTGTACATTTTCTGCTTATCTTCCTGTGAGATACATTAGAAAAAATATAGATAGAAATAGATCTATCATAGGGTGTCCACAGAGTTGAATGCATTAAAATTTTAAGTATTTTATGTATAATATCTAATTGTTCTCTTTATTCTCTAGAGTACCTCTGTGAGAGGGTGAGGTTAAATATCTGTATGTAATAGAATAAAATGGAACAAGAGTGTCAGACTCCAATGAATCCTGTCCCTTCCTAGCTTTTCCTGTTGAAACAGATACTATGTTGTCCACACAAAACCACTTATTTCAATGTAAAGAGAATAATTTGGTCATTATATAAATGTTGAGGTGTGATAGGAAGGTTGGTACCTTTGCTTTCTCTGTGTTTTCATCTAACTTTTCCTTCCTCCTTGAAACTGTCAAATGTCTTTGCACTTCATATCGGTCGTTACTACCTTTCTTGTAGCAGGCATCTTATAACCTCCTGGTCCCTTCCCTTTATTTACAGAAGATTTCAGTATGTGAATCTCTGTCATCTTTTCTATTCCTTTGTCATTTTTATTGGTGACTTCAATATCCTTGTGAAAAACTCATGCCTCATGTGGCTTCAGAGTTCCTTGTCCTTCCTCACCTTCAGTGTCCTTTCCCTACTTGACATGTTGCCCACTCTCACAAGCATCCCCTTGACCTGCTAATCACCGATAACTGAAATCCTTCTTCAGTTTTCTATATCCAGGTCTTTAACATCACTGCCTACCATTCCCTCTCTTTCCCATCCCAGCTGTGCTTAGACTAGAGCAAGTTCTCTAAAACATCATTGTTTACCCTTGTGCACTCATAATCTCTCTCATTTTGTTCTTTATTCCTTATTCAGCTGCGATTTCATATTATATGATTAGATCTATGTATTTTCAAAGTTTAACTCCCTTGCCCCTATTTTCTTCCATTTTGCTTCTGCCTCCAAAATAAAATAAAGCAAACTCAGCTCTGGTTGTCCCACTATCTTTCATCTCACATTGGCAGCTGAACAAGTCTGGAGAAAAAAAAAGCATGTACTTCTGCTGACTGATTCCAGTTTAAACTCACGACTGCGAATCCTTCCTGGCACTCAGTACTGCTTGGTTATCTTTACACTTTGATATATGCTCATTTTTCACTGTCCAAAGTGAGACTATGTCACAAATTTCATATCTCCTCAAACTGCCAGGCTCCATTACAGGATGCAAATCACCATCCAGGCACCTGTTTTCTCATGGGTTCCATTATATGATGAGACAAGCATGCCTGCTTCTACCAAAGCCAGGACTTGGGTGCATGCCCTCCAGCCCATGCATCTCCTCTTCCATGACTCTCTGCATGACATACTCCTTTTCATCAATTTCTCCCTCTGAAATGAACTGTTCACACCAGCATAAACACGTGCTCTGATTTCTTCCTCTAGCTCCTTCAGTATTTCTCAGTATTTGAAAAAACTTTTCAAAAGTACTGACTGAGATTGCTATTTTCATTTCCTCTCCATCCCTTTCTTTCCTCAGATCATTCCAATTGGCTTTTACCCCCATTCCTCTGAAACTGTACTACATTAGGCAGCACATTTAATGTCACATTTAATGGTCACTTGATAGTCCTTATCTTCCTAGACCTCTCATAAGCATTTGACAGAGGTGACCACTCCTCTTTATAGAAACACTTTCCTCTCTTGATTTCCCTCCTTCATCACTGGCCACTTCGTCCTGCTCATCCTTTTCTGCTCAGTCTCCAATTTATTCCTGGAATTTTAAGTCCTCAGCTGGGAATGCCCCTTCCCTTAACTGTTTCAGGACAATTTCCCACATGTCATTCAAATCTTATGTATATAGCATTCCCTAGCAAGGGTATTTTCTGACAACTCAATCTTAGTCTCCCAGAAACACTGTCTTGTATCACCTTGTTTACCTTTACTGCAACTCTTAACATACTTTTATTTATTTATTTATTACCTGTTTACACTGCTGGGATATAAATTCCATGAGAGGAGGGAACTTGTCCTTCTTGTACTAGGTTGTAGGCAATTAAAAATGTTTCTTGCATGAATGAGAAAATCAACAGTTTGAATAGTGACAACTATTATTTTTTTACTAACAACTGTACCTTTTTTGCATGCCATATGGGTGAAATTTCTCCAACCATGCACCAAATAAGATCTTCTTTTAAATTTAAACTCAAAGAGGGTCAAGAATTCAATTAAGTTTTAGAAACCACTGCATTTGCTTCAACCTCTGCCTTCAAATACTAACTTGGGAACTGTAATCCTAATCCTTTATAAGGTCAAGACCCACTTTTAAAAAATGAAAGCTCTTTCAAAGGCAGTGACAGTAGCTAGTTTTAAAAGGATGGGATGGGGGCAGGCACAATTCTAATTAAATCACAGATAAATATGCCACAAGAATGATTTTGTCTACCTCAGACTGAAACTTAAATGTTAAGATTTAAAGTTAAATATATTAAGATTTATTTAAATACAGTTCTAAATTATTTTCTATGACATTTTTTAGCACAAAGAGAATTATTATATATTTGTTTTTTCATAAATTATGCTAATGTTTCCTTTTATTTGTAACCTTGATTAATCCTTTTTTAAAATTCTAGACACTGAGGTGGAAAATAAGTTCTGGAAATGGGAATCTATAAAACTTGGGTAGATTTTTAGTTCTTGTTTTTCAACAAAAGAATAAGTCAACTAAGTCTGTCAATCATTAGTTATACACATCACAAAATTTAGAGCAATTTTTCACAATAACCTGAAAATTCATATGCCTTGTAAAAATCAGATCCTCTAAAGGATTTGCTTAATAAATCAACACTGGGTGCTGCCAGGTATCTCTCTTAATGTGTGAAATAAATGTATATTTCCCAATTCCTCCTCATTTTCACGCCAAAAAATTGCTGAGTGTGAGATTATTCATAACTTAAATAGGACAGATGATATTCTACCCTAAAGAACAAAAACTGGGCTTTCCTGGTAAATATTATGATGACTCATGCTCGTTTCATAAAAAGACAAATCCCACGATAAATGAAAAACACATTTTTAAGGAATTTTTTCTCATATAACTTCAGTTGTGCAAAGTATTATTAACCAGTATTACTTGTCCAGGGATGTTAATCCACATATAGGTTATTACTCCAGTTAGAAAATAAAATCCTTTCAAACAAGATACTAAAGAATCTACAATTGCAAGTTTGCTGTCTAAAATTTGTCATTTTTGTAAAAGGAATAAAACATTTGTTGGGGACAAGCAATTGAAACAAAAATGTGGAAACAGACTATTTAGAAAATCTTATCACTAATCTTTGATTTTTAAGACTATTATTTGAATTTTTAATTTAGTGGACATAATATACATGTTTTCTAACTCAGAAGTAACCATCAAATGGTGATAAAATGTGATATTGAGTGTAAGTAAATAGGCATGATTTTTATTTTAAAAAAAAATGTTCCCTGTAGTAAAAATTTTATTATGTATTACTAAAGACCGTGAGAAATTATATAAAATTGACCTCTTAAGCATTCATTTTCCTTCTTTAATACTACTTGACCAAAAAGTTTTTCTATTCCTCAGAATGTCTTGTTTTTGACATTATTGGTCAATGTTTATTTTTCTAGTTTTACACAGCTTATAAAAAACAAATGAAACACTACATTTATTTGAGTTATTCTTGGATGTTGAGTTACTATACTTTTATACCTAGGCTAAATATTGTCTGATG